GATGTAAACAGTCATTCAACTGAAGCCCATGCGTCCCTGAGGGAAGGACTTGGTTATACACACAGCTTCTAGGGCAGCCACTGGCAGTCTACAGCACAGCATGCACCTCCTGGCCACTGTGCTTACCATAGCGCAGATGATTCTTGCTCAGGGAAGAAGAATCAAAAACTGCGTCCCCACACCAAGGCATCAGAGGGAATGAGCTTGCCGACAAACTGGCTGAAACTGGCAGGGGCAAGTCCCCAAACTCATGATCATTCACCCATGCCGAAAAAATCTTAAGGTCCACAGAAACAGGACAGGTCGCTCTCATGCATTTAAGGCCCTATCACACTAGCACTTTTTCCGTCATTTTTTGCGTTTCCGTCTGAATTTGAGGCTTTCCTCAAGAATCGTTTGCAAACGGAACGCCTCCCAGACGAAGGCGGTTACGACCGTTTCCGTCTTGATCTTGTGCTACGAAGGATCTACACAGCAAGAATGTTTTTTATTGATAAATTAAATAGAATGATCAAATGTAAACATAAGCTAATATTTTAGAACATTCGTATATATAATATACACCATCATATTTCTTTAGAATAACGTAATATAAATGAGAATGTTTGTGTGATTCTCGGGACCTCACTCCGCTAGCGCCACGTTTGTTTATGTGGGCAATGATTGCTGACTTGGTAATGTGATGGGTCAGTCGATTTTCATACTCAAATTTCATTCGGAAAGGTAAAAATTGACGGAAAAAGTGATAGTGTGATAGAGCCTTAAATAACACAGAAAGCAAGGGAGAACCTCCCCCTCAGCCAAATGGCCCTCAGGTGGCACAGGCTATGAAACGCTGGCACTCTCTGCAACAAGTGATCAGAGGTGGCGCAGTTATTCTTCACAGAATCAGACTAGGCTACCATTGCAACATGGCAAATTATCGGGACAAATGACTATGCTGACAGATGTCGCAAGCACCACAGTGCTTGTGACAAATAACCTTTTTTCTGAGACAGGGACCACCCACCACAGCCGCTGGGCAATCACGCGAACATTCTCATACATATTACGTCATTTTAAAGAAATATGATGTATATTGTATATACCAATGTTCTAACATATTAGGTTATGTTTACATTTGCTCATTATATTCAAGTTATCAATAAAAAACATTCTAGCTGTGTAGATCCTTCGTAGCACAAGATCAAGACGGAAATTACTCAGACGGAAACGGTCGTAACCGCCTTCGCCTTCTTCGATACTTGTGGAACGCCTCAAATTCATACGGAAACGCAAAAAATGACGGAAAAAGTGCTAGTGTGATAGGGCCTTAAGGCCTGGGCGAAGCTAGCATTCGCAAATACTGAACAGAACTGATTACCCCGTGCCTGCTGTGCGTGCGTGGCTGAGGTGTGGCAACCATGACGACATATACAAGTGGTTTCAAAGTGCGCTACATCAATACACTTACAATAAAAGAAATGAAAACCCACAAGACTTTATCGTTAATGCAGAGATTTTGTCACTCTTTTGTCCCATTACACAGGAGTATTCAGGATTCTGACCATTTTTCATCCTACGTGCACCAATTACCCTGTCTTCTTGTACGATAAAGGATAAAAAATAAAAAAAAGTTTCCGCGACATCTATTATCAAATTGTATCATGGAAAGTAAGACAATTATGACTAACTGGTTTAGATAATAAATAAATAATCACAATAATAAGATGAAAACGCTAACCAAACCGAAGGCCCTGCCCGTGCCACGTCCAAACCAGATCCCTTTCTGGGCCTCGAGTGGCTGCATTACCTTGAGGATCAACAGCAGCGGAGGAGTGATGCTCCGTGTCCGCCTCTAGGCCCGCGTCCGCGCGCGCGTCGGTGCTCTCCATCAGCCGCTGCGTGTGGGCATCCCTGGACGAGGCCAAAGCGTCGATGAGCCTGCGGCTTTCTGCTTGCCGCTGGCCTCTCGTCTTGCCCTGAACGCGAGCCAGCTTTCTTTCGAGGCCAGCGATGTACTGCAGGGAATCATCGAGCGGTATGTACATGCCTGGAAAAACAGTGACACAAATATGAACATAAAATAACATCTAATCTCCTTCAAGAGTGCCTACTATACTACACAATGTGTGCATGCATAGGATACATAGAAAGGCAGTTATTGTTTGTACGTGAATTTATATTTATATAAATATAAACATGCATATGTATATAAGCCTAAGCATGTGTAGATGTGCATGTACAGTCTGGGGCAAATGGAAGGCCCGCTGCATAGACTGTATATGCCCTTGCTGGCAGTCTCTGCACAGTGTGTTCTGTGAAGCTGCCAAGAACAATTACTACTGTGCTGCAACTGACATTCAGTATGTAAGGAGATGCCAAATGCCTCTTTCAATACAACTTAATTAGCTCAATGAAAGTAAGCACAATTATCTATCCAATATAAGTAAGTACAAACATTTAGTGTTTCAAACAGTTAAATGTAACATCTATGGAATAAATGTCGGGCCATGTAACCTCTAGACTACTGGTTCTCAGCCTTTTAATACTCGCGACCCCCTTCTCAAACTCACACGTTTCCGACCCCTCCTTAACCCTCAGACACACCAGTGACCCCAACATCATTTTAGGCTAAGACCGCCAGGAAAATACATTTTGCAATCTTTATTTATGTAACTGAAATGCAATATCCCCTAGACTAAATCCTTGTCTATCCGCATGAAAACTTACTAACACCTAAGGGTTTACAACCACCGGCTGACCCTCCGCCTTAACGGGGTCCACGGTTTGAAAGACGGTGTAACGTTCGCCAATCTCTGTTCTATCTCCTTAAAAGAAAAGATTGCATAACCATACCATACAATATTAATATACATGCTATTATTCCAATTACTATACTGATGTTGAATTTCGGTGTAAAATGAACTTCCAGCATGTCATGCCCTCATTGGCAATAGTATTGGTTAGCCATGGCATTTATACCATTGTCATTGCAACTTACAATATTTAAATGATCGCATATATTTTTAAATGTAGTACATTATGGCACAAACGACGTTTTTTTCAAGACTGTTCCATGCTTCAATAGTTATGTTTGGGAAATTGATTACCTCATCTTTTTACTTGCAACATTTTATTGTGTCCTCTCCTCCTTCTTGTGTTCAAAATTATAGTGTCATCTTTGTCTAACTTCACTCTCTTCCAGTTACATAGTTGAACAGCATAATCACGTCCCCTCTTTCTTCCAGAGTATTAAGGGGACCTTCTGGTGATTTTTTGGCGATTTTCGCCCCTCTTGCCGAAATCGACTTTAATGCATTTCCAAGGAGTTTCTAGGCCTCCGGTTCTCCCCTCAAATTTCACATAAGATGAGACCAACCTTCTTTTTCTTCGGAATAATTAAAAAAAATCCGGCAAGCGTCCAAAAAACGATAATGAAGAAATTTTCCATACAAATAACTAAAATATGTTATTCATATGGTGTTTTTTTATGTTTTCATCATACATAGTTTGATCTATGAGCAAAACATTTCGAAAATGCAAACCTCCCCCTCACCCATGGGGGGTAGTTTTGCCAAATGTTCCGGATTACCACCAAAATTTTATGGAATATTGATTAGGCTAGGACAAACCTCAGGTAAAAAAAAAATATTCAAATCTGTTCATAACTTTTCGAGTTAGAAAAAAATTTCTGGATCCAAACCATGGTCTGCATCGCCATGGAATATTAATTAGGCTAGGACAAACCTCAGGTAAAAAATTTATTCAAATCTGTTCATAACTTTTCGAGTTAGAAAAAAAAATCCTGGATCCAAACCATGGTCCGCATCGCCATGGAATATTAATTAGGCTAGGACAAACCTCAGGTAAAAAATTTATTCAAATCTGTTCATAACTTTTCGAGTTAGAAAAAAAAATCCTGGATCCAAACCATGGTCCGCATCACCACCAAACTGCAATAAGCGTCTAAGTTAGGTTAAAACTCACCTTTGGTTAAAATCCCGTTAAAATATGTTCATAACTTTTAGAAATATTAGAAAACAAACTAACAAACAAAAAAACAACAAATAAACAATCAACAAACAAAGAAACATACGGAAGTAACAATATAAATAAACAAAAGGTCATGGGGTACACGAAAATTATCTTTATGTGCTCATATACCTCATATACATGCTTTCATATCGCCATGTAATTGTTTTTCGTCTTTCCACGGGATCTTTTAGTTTAGTTTAGTCCTTTATTTACCACCCTGGCTAACTGCACATGGTCAAAGCATTATATAATAGTATTACAGTGTAAATCGAGATCATAAAATTATTACGGTCTAAAATATATCATTTAAAAGAAAAGAACAATCAGTAATTTGTCTACTCATCTATCAAGCCGGCATACGGCTTGGGCGTGGAAAGGCAATGTAACATTTGATATGTGGTCATGTGATACTACATTCCAAATTTAGGATATAACATAATTATATCTTCCAAGACATCAGATGATATGAAGTAGTTACATAGTTCTCCATACCTCATGCTAGGTGGTCTGAAAGGCTGTATTACATGGCACTCTGAGATATAATGTACAAGTGTTCGCTTATATTCTTCATTGCATAATTTACACTTAGTTTCTTCAACATTACAGGCTGTACTGACCTGCCAGTACAATCTATATCCCAGCCTGATTCTTGCGGTCACAATATCACACTGTCTTGTTCTTGTTTTGTATAAACCATAGATGAATACACCTTAGAGAGAGAGAGAGAGAGAGAGAGAGAGAGAGAGAGAGAGAGAGAGAGAGAGAGAGAAGAGAGAGAGAGAGAGAAGAGAGAGAGAGAGAGAGAGGGAGAGAGAGAGAGAGAGAGAGAGAGAGAGAGAGAGAGAGAGAGAGAGTAGAGAGAGAGAGAGAGAGAGAGAGAGAGAGAGAGAGGAGAGAGAGAGATAGAGAGAGAGAGAGAGAGAGAGAGAAGAGAGAGG